TTTGAGAAAATCATTCATGCTTTTATTTCTAGTAGGTTGGACTACTGCAATGGTCTCCTAACTGGTCTTCCCAAAAAAGCTGTGAAGTAACTGCAGCTTGTTCAGAATGCTGCTGCTAGAGTCTTATCAAGAACTATGAGAACGGAGCACATTGTTCCTGTTCTTAGATCCCTACAATAGTTACCAGTAAACCACAGAATACAGGTTCTTTTCAAAAAATTAGCATATCGTGATGAAGTTCATTATTGTCTGTAATGTACTGATAAACATGAGACTTTCATATATATTAGATTCATTACACACAACTGAAGTAGTTCAAGCCTTTTATTGTTTCTAATATTGATGATTTTGTCATACAGCTCATGAAATACCAAAATTCCTATCTCAAATAATTAGCATATTTCATCCGAACAATAAAAGAAAAGTGTTTTTAATACAAAAAAAGTCAACCTTCAAATAATTATGTTCAGTTATGCACTCAAGACTTGGTCGGGAATCCTTTAGCAGAAATGACTGCATCAATGCGGCGTGGCATGGAGGCAATCAGCCTGTGGCACTGCTGAGGTGTTATGGAGGCCCAGGATGCTTCGATAGTGGCCTTAAGCTCATCCAGAGTGTTGGGTCTTGCGTCTCTCAGCTTTCTCTTCACAATATCCCACAGATTCTCTATGGGGTTCAGGTCAGGAGAGTTGGCAGGCCAATTGAGCACAGTAATACCATGGTCAGTAAAGCATTTACCAGTGGTTTTGGCACTGTGAGCAGGTGCCAGGTCGTGCTGAAAAATGAAATCTTCATCTCCATAAAGCTTTTCAGCAGATGGAAGCATGAAGTGCTCCAAAATCTCCTGATAGCTAGCTGCATTGACCCTGCCCTTGATAAAACACAGTGGACCAACACCAGCAGCTGACATGGCACCCCAGACCATCACTGACTGTGGGTACTTGACACTGGACTTCAGGCATTTTGGCATTTCCCTCTGCCCAGTCTTCCTCCAGACTCTGGAACCTTGATTTCCGAATGACATGCAAAATTTGCTTTCATCTGAAAAAAGTACTTTGGACCACTGAGCAACAGTCCAGTGCTGCTTCTCTGTATTCCAGGTCAGGCACTTCTGTCGCTGTTTCTGGTTCAAAAGTGGCTTGGCCTGGGGAATGCGGCACCTGTAGTCCATTTCCTGCACACGCAAGTACACGGTGGCTCTGGATGTTTCTACTCCAGACAGTCTACTGCTTCCGCAGGTCCCCCAAGGTCTGGAATCGGTCCTTCTCCACAATCATCCTCAGGGTCCGGTCACCTCTTCTCGTTGTGCAGTTTTTTCTGCCACACTGTTTCCTTCCCACAGACTTCCCACTGAGGAGCCTTGATACAGCACTCTGGGAACCGCCTATTCATTCAGAAATGTTTTTCTGTGTCTTACCCTCTTGCTTGAGGGTGTCAATGATGGCCTTCTGGACAGTCAGGTCGACAGTCTTACCCATGATTGCGGTTTTGAGTAATGAACCAGGCTGGGAGTTTTTAAAAGCCTCAGGAATCTTTTGCAGGTGTTTAGAGTTAATTAGTTGATTCAGATATTAGGTTAATAGCTCATTTAGAGAAACTTTTCATGATATGCTAATTTTTTGAGATAGGAATTTTGGGTTTTCATGAGCTGTATGTATGCCCAAATCATCAATATTAGAAACAATAAAAGGCTTGAACTACTTCAGATGTGTGAAATGAATCTAATATATATGAAAGTCTAATGTTTATCAGTACATTACAGACAATAATGAACTTTATCACAATATGGAAATTTTTTGAGAAGGACCTGTAAATTTCGAAGTGCTCCTACTAGTTTATAAATCACTCAATGGCATGGAACCAAAATACTTGTCTTATCTCATTCCTGTATATGCACCCAATAGGACTCTGAGATCCTTAGGAAACAATCAGCTGGTAGAACCACAGGTCAGAACCAAACAGGGTGAAGATGGATATCAGCTCCCCCAGGACCTCAGATCTGCCCCAACCCTAGTGTTGTTTAAAACAAAACTTAAAACCCTAATGTACTCATCAGCCTTTGAATGATTTTTTTCTTATGCTGCATCATCTCCACTGTAATCTGTGATGTAATTGCTGAACCTTAATTCTGCCATTTCCTTTTAGCTCTAAATTCTGTGTATATTTTTTATTTGTGTTCATGTTTGTTGTTGTACCATTTAATGCTAATTGTAACTAAGCACAATGAATCACCCCTGTGCTTGAAATGTGCTATGTAACGTACCAAAAGGGTCAATTTTCACCATCTACATTGACCAACATAGTGACCTTTCATCTACAGCATAAATTCACTTTCTATTTGGCCTTCTAAATCCAGAAGGTTCTGCTCAGTGCGTGTTGATATTCCACAAAGACAAAACATTCAAATAGACACTCTGTCCCAAGGCCCTACATTCTCTGCTTAGAAGCCAGCCAATATTCTTCACTCTGAGTAAGTGAAGAGTCCATGATTTTATAGTTATAATGTAAATAATCATATGTGATTAATGAACAAGATGTTTAAATCAAATGTTTGAATAATCTGTGCTTAAATCAATGAATTTGAAATTAATATTGTTCTTACAATGATCCATATATATCACAAATCACTGTGTTTGATTTAACAAGTTAATCATTGTTTACACTCATACACATTACAATAAGATACAGATTAAGGTTAATAGGCTCCTCACATAAGAGTTTTAAGACATTCTCATTCACAGTGTTAAAAACATCTTTGTATCTGCAAGGAGGAGTGGCTTTCTGAGGAATATTTTGGTAAAGCCTTCCAGACATGGCACATTCTGATTTGCCAAAAATTATAGTTTATTAAAACAGGATTTACTTCCCAATTAATTCAGTTTCCAGCTGACCCCCCCAATTTGGACAAATCGGGAAAGAAGCCTCTTTTGAAACCATCTCCTTTGACCTTAACTCAAAACCTTTCTGGAATGCTGCAAGTGATTACAGACACAACAGCTCTTTTCAGAGCTACTTCAACTCAGACATCCACCTTGGACACCTAACCTGCAGACCCCGGGTTGCATCTCATGGCCGGGGAAGCTGAACTCTGAGGAAGCTACTCTGAGTATTGTGGATTCGGCGTCCGGTGACCTCACCACTCTGACCGCAAACCTCCGGACCGCCAGGAGCAACTCATACAAGGGTATCGTAAGCCTGCATACTGGTGTCTGATGAGGTCTTTATCAATAACTAACTCTCTAATTTATGACAAACAAATTCTTTGACACCCAGATTTCACAATTTCTCTCAGATACAAAGAACGGTTGCTACAACATCTAGCTTCCATCACAACTCCTCACATCCACCACATCACATCTCCTTATTCATATCTTGTCATGTATAAATTGTTAGTTTAGGAAAAATAATTAAATTCATTTTATGAACTATATACTGACTCTGTCTGAATTAACACGAAGTGTGTTTATGGTCCCTGAATAAGCAAAGAACCTGAGAATCTTCTGATTAAACATTCAAAGATCAATCAGATTGGTATTTCATATTTGTATGGAATATCACATCTTATTGGTCATAATTAAATGTTTTCCACTACAGCAATATAAATAAAGCTGCCTTGCCTTAATATTGGATCTCTCTAATAAAACAAACCCCTAAAATCCATCTACTTTCTGAGAATGTTGCAAAGAGCGTTGACACACCCCCTCTCGTTTTAGCTCTTTACCCTCTGATCCTCTCTCCATAACTGACTCACCCACTCTATTCACCTTGTGTCTATATGAAAACATTACATTTATGCACTTGTGGCTGTTTGGATTTTGTTTTGCACATAAATCCTGAGAGCTCTTGTCTATAGTTGGACAGATAAAAAGGCAGCAAACAGATCAGCAGCACTCCACAAAAATAAAAAACTCTTCATTTTCTGATAAATGCTCCCAGCCCTGCACACCTTTAACACAGGACCAAGCCTGCAGAAACATTCACACAACGTGCATTATTTATAAAAGGCTGATTTGATGCAAAAGACAGGCATGAAGAACCCAGGCAGCTAGAATACTTCATGCAAACAATAAGTCCTGCTGCAGCCTCACCAGACAAACCAGAGGAGAAGAAAACGACAGCCATGTTTTCATTATAAGCTCCTCAATACGATGGGCTTTTGATTACAACACTTGCTTTGAAACTCCAATCAGACATTTTTGCTCTCCAGGTAGTGATGAGGAGAAACAGGAAATTAAAACCGATACAACTGTGGGAGCTCTAACAACGGCTTTATGGTAATGTTTGCTTTGGCTCGCTTTAATTTGTGCAGAAGCACTTTGACTTTATGACAGAGTGGAAACATTTAAAGTACGGACTGAATTCTCCCATTACCACTACATCAGGATGCAGCTCACGCTTAGATCCTGGAAAAAAAATCTATCTGCATATGTTTTTCCCACTTAGATGTATGTGTATTTCAATTTCTCCTAGAAATATTTGTATATGCATGAACACTATACCATGAGAGCCTCTGCAGGGTAAATATTGTACGTTGCATCAGTAAAAATGCAACATTTAAATCAAACAATTCAAGAAATTAAGATTTTTCTTACTTTATCAGAAGAAGGCTTCCAGTTTATGTAGAGCTCTTACTAAACAAAACTCATTTCATACAGCTGAGCCTCAGCTCAAAGTTTAACAAGTCCTGTCTGAAAATCTGAGTTCCTGCACCTCCTTCCTTTAAATTAAAATATTCAGACTTGCAGCATAACCACCAGTAACATCAACAATAATCAGGCTTTAAAGGAACAAAGAAAAAAAAGCAATAAATTGGATCCTTCCTCAGAAAATTATACTAACCCTGTAATTCTGCTCTTAAAATAAACCCTTTGATTTTCTCCAAACTGGTCGCAGCCGACCACGAGTGTTTAAAACATTTCAGCATCATCTAAATGAAAAAGAAAAGCCAAGGGTGGAGGTAAGTCTCTTTGGTCCATTTGTCAGGAGGTGGATCTACTCACTGGCTTGCATGAGCTGACCCTGGCGTCCGAACACCTGGGAGAATGTGGCTTGGCTGCAGGTGAGGGTGTCCTCCATGGCACTCCCACTTTTCCACACGCTGAGCAAGCGAAGTGAGATGAGAGAAGGTCAGGAACGCTGCGTCACACCAAGATAGAAAAAGGGAGGAAAAAAGAGGAAGCAAGAGAAAGAGGACATGCTTGCCTTCAGCTGGCTGGTGTGTGATGTCCAGTGATGACCGCTTTCTTCTGGAACCGTCCTCCTCCTCCTGATGCTGCTGCTGCGGTGTCTGAGGGGTGAAATACAGCTCTCCTCACTGCTGCTGCTCGCCTGAGAGGGGTGTGTTCCTGGCTGCCTGCTCGTCAGCATGTAAGTGGGTGCAAGGGAGAGAAAGTTCTCTGAATGTCTGCCTGTGAGAGCATTTTGGTGTGCAAATAGGAGAGAGGAAGAGCAGGTTGCAGAGGAAGAGGTAACAATGTGATGCTGAGTTTCATCTGTACAGTTCGACAATCCTCCACGCCTGGGAGGAAGGAAGAGAAAAAGGAAGGGGGGGTCTCCTGTAGGTAAAAGTCAATCCACGCCTCTGAATGGGACAGCACTGTAGTCCCTCCTCCCCTCCCTCTCCACAGCCCTCATTTGCTGTTCCTCAGCAGTAACATTTCTCTCTCCCTTACATCTCCATTACTCCCTCCATCCCCATCCCATCCAAATCTCCCTCGATCCATCGTAAAGCTCGGGCCACTGCCGGGATACAAGACTCCAGCAAACTCAAGTGCTTCATCTTCCCCTGAGTGCACAGGGGAAAAGAAAAAAAAAGTGGAAGGCTTGTATGGAAAGTGAAAGTAGGGCTGGTACAGCTGGTAGTTTCCAGAGGCATCATGAAAAGGAATAGTAAAAACATGCAGAGTATTGTGGCGTAGCAGAGCCAAGCAGCCTGCTCAGGGGGGCCGCAAAGACTTATGGGTAATGGGCCTTAAGTGTTAGTTATAGAGTTCTTCAGTGTTATCTTATGGTTTGACGTTATATTTTTGTGTTTCAATGGAAACCTGTTCTTTAATTATCCTTCAAGTTCTGTTGGTGTCAATATTTGGTGGTATTTGTTCATCACCATGATAGAGAAGGGGGTGCATGAGTTTGACCTGCCTGACATTAGATTGTTAACGAAAAAAGCAAGTGGTTGCAAGAGTTGTTAATAAACGGCTCCTCATTGTCAATCCATTTTTTACACTTGAGGTGTGCAATAAAGCTTCTCTCTCCAGTGACTCATTTCCTTTGATGTCACATTGGTGTCAGAAGTGGGATATGGCCAATCTCAACATGGAGAGAGAGATAGAAGAACTGGAACGGATCATCCAAGAAAACTGCTGACTGCTGGGTGGAGACATAAGTGGAGACATGGGAACCCGTCGAAAGACTTCTGTTGAGAGACGGCCCCCTGGTGGATGAGGACAGTACACCTAGGCCACACTGTACCCTGGTGGCGACGGGGGTTGAATTCAGGCAGGCAGCGCCATCATCAAAATATGAGGAAACAAATCTCCAGACATCAGAGTGTGGCGCAGACAGGTTGTGCCAGACAGATTCGATACCTGTCCAGCGATGACGTACAGCGGGGCCGAAGACACCCACCAAGCTACCCAAGTGCAGTGGCGCGACACCCTTGGAACCTTTCCTCGCCCAGGTACGGCTGGCGTCATGGCACAGTGACTGGGAGGATGATGAAACTGCTACACATCTGGCACTGGCTCTGGAGGGAGCGTCCCTGCAAGTGCTCCTTGACCTAGCTCCAAGAGATCAGCGGGATGTTAAATCCCTGATGACAGCGTTAGAGTGGAGGTTTGGCAAACGCCTGTGTGCAGAGGAGAGCCGAGAGGAGTTGACCAACCGCTGCCGTAAAGAGGACGTGAGTCTGGGTACTTTTGCCACTGATGTGAGGTTCCATGCCCAACGGGGTTATCCTCAGTTCTCGATGGCGGCATGTGATGAACTAGCACTCCATGCCTTCCTCCAAGGCCTCACACCAGAACGCCTGTGACAACATGTTCGGCTGGCCAGACCCCACACTCTCATGGAAGCTCTCCAAGAAGCAGAGCAAGCAGAGAGGATCCTAATACGATGGCCCAATCCTGTACGAGCTCACAGCCCACCACAGCATGCCCGCCAAGCTGATGTTGCAGAGGAAGAGGAGACAGAAGGGGTGTTTCAAGCTCAGCCCACTATGGTGAGGAGAAGTCGAAGCACTCGGCGTGACCGCTGTTATCGGTGTGACGAGCCTGGTCACATAGCCCGACATTGCCCCGCACCAGCTCCAAAGGACAGAGGAACTTAGCCGTCGGGAAACGGCAGAGGAGTGGTTCTGTGAGGGGACAATCACTCCAAATCACTGCCCCTCCCCGCGGACAGTGCACTCTGGTTGGGTACCCAGGAAGGTTAAAAGGGCTGTACCTGAGTTGCAACATCGATGGACAGCCCTGCCGGGCGTTAGTAGACACGGGGTCCACCATCTCTTTGGTCCAACCTGGCCTCCTTCCGGGCACTTCAGGGCCATTCCCAGAGATCTGGTTGCCAACCGACATCCAGCTCACCACTGTGACAGGAGAAACAGCTGGAATGAAAGGGAGGAAAGAGCTGCTGGTGGAAGTACAGGGACAAGAACTGAGGCACGAGTTCTGGTTGGCCCAGATCCAGGAATCCTGCATCATTGGTCTGGATATGCTGATTCACTGGGGAGCAGTACTCGACTTGCCCCATTCGACTCTCACCCTGGAAACTCTGACGGTGGAACTCCAACAAGGTCAAAGAAAGAATAGACCAAGAGTGCGAAAGGCAAATGCCCAAATCGCCCTGACCCAGCCACCAGATCGGCTCCAGCCATCTCCTGGAACTGAGAGTGTATTGCCAGCAGCCCCATCAACGGAGCCAGCAGAAGCCATTCGAGAGCTTTGGTGGCGAAGCTGTGAGGGCCTGGATCAAGTCCAAAGTGACCAAGTAAAGCTTCTGCTAGGCAGATATGTGGACATATTTGCTGCCAAAGATGAGGACTGTACCCAGACAGGTCTGGTGCAACACCCGATTGACACCAGCTCAGCAGCCCCTATCCGCCTGCGACCTCACCGGCTGGCAATGGCTAAGAGACAGGTGGCAGCAGAGATGGTTCAGCAGATGTTGAGCACCGGAATCATTGAGCAATCTGACAGCCCCTGTGCAGCGCCGGATGTCCTGGTCTGAAAGAAGTCGGGTGGATGGAGGTTTTGTGTGGACTACGTCACCTTAATGCAGTCACAAAGAAGGACTCTTACCCACTTCCCCGCATCGACGATGCATTGGATTACATCAGCGGCTCCAGCTGGTTTAGTTCCCTCGACCTACGCAGCGGATACTGGCAGGTGGAACTGCACCACGATGCAAGGCCCAAGACGGCAATCACCTTTGGACAAGGGCTGTGGTAGTTCCGGGTGATGCCGTTCGGACTGTGCAACGCTCCCGCAACGTTTGAACAACTCATGGAGAGGGTGCTAGTTGACATACCCAAATCCCGCTGTGTGGTGTACCTTGACGATCTGCTGGTACACACGGTGGACTTTGACCAAGCCCTGACTCATCTCCAGGAGGTCTTTGACACCATCCAAGGAGCTGGATTACGGCTGAAACCTGCTAAGTGTCACCTGCTGCAGAGGAAGACTGCATTCCTGGGTTATGTGGTCAGTGCTCAGGGAGTTGCGACAGATCCAGCAAAGGTGACTGCCGTACAGGATTGGCTCACCCCAGCTAACGTTCGGGAGTTACGCAGCTTCCTGGGGTTGGTGTCCTACTACCACCGGTTCGTCAAGGACTTTGCTTCAATCGCCATCCCCCTCCACCGGCTTACCAACAAAGGGCAGCCCTTTCACTGGGACATTGCCTGTGCTGCTGCTTTTGACCAACTTAAGACCTCCCTCACACCAGCCCCTGTCCTAGCCTACCCTCAAGCACAGGTTTCCTTTGTAGTGGACACAGACGCCAGCAATGTGGGAGCAGTCCTTTCCCAAGCTGGACCTGGGGGAGAAAGAGTGGTGGCTTACTTCAGCCGGGCCCTGAGCCGGGAAGTAAAGAACTACTGTGTGACTCGACGAGAGCTGTTGGCAGTGTTGTTGGCAGTCCGACACTTCTGACCATACCTCCAGGGTAGCCAATTCCTGCTGCGCACTGATCATGCCAGGCTGACCTGGCTCTTGAATTTCAAACAACCAGAAGGCCAGGTGGCTCGATGGCTAGAGATCCTTCAGACCTACGACTTTGAGATCCAACATCGACCTGGTCAACAACACTCAGGCTCCTGGCAGGCTCCTGGCAGCAGCAATGACCTTTTGTGGCTACTGGTGCCACCGGCTCTTTATGAGCAGGTTCTCCAGAGCGTGCACGGCTCTGTGGGATCTGGTCACTTTGGAATCTCAAAGACACTGCGTCGCCTCAGAGGATGATTCTACTGGCTGGGGAAAAGACAAGATGTGGAACTGTACGTGCACTTTTGTGACCTGTGCACCTCCCAAAAAGGGCCACCTCAGCGATTGCATGCTCCCCTGCAACAGTATCTGGTGGGGGTTCCCATGGAGTGACTGGGGGTGGACATCCTTGGTCCTTTTCCCATCACCAAGGCTGGTAATTGCTACGTTCTTGTAGCAATGGACAACTTCACGAAGTGGCCCAAGGCATACACGGTACCAGATCAAACTGCCCACACAACTGCTGAGAAGTTGGTCGAGGAGATGTTCACCTGCTTTGGGGTCCCTGCTGAGCTCCACAGTGACCAGGGATGCAACTTTGAGGCCCAGGTGTTTGCGGAAGTCTGCCGGTTGCTTGGGGTGAAGAAAACCCAGACGACCCCTCTCCATCCACAGAGCGATGGACTGGTGGAGAGGTTCAACAGGACCTTGCCCACACAGCTGGCCATACTGGTTGATTGCCATCAGAGGGACTGGGTATCTTCCCTTGGTCCTCTGGGCCTACCGCACGGATGTGCAGGAGTCCAGCCAGTGCACACTGGCTGCTCTGATGCTTGGACGAGAGCTTAGGACCCCAGTGGGCCTGGTCTTTGGTGCCCCACCAGAGCCGGAGCTTACGGGGGCACGGAGACTGACTACTTTCAGAGACTCCAAGAGTGGCTGTGGGTGGTGCACGAGTTCACCCGGCAGGCACAAGCCAACTCTAACATGCACCAAAGGAGAGCATATGACAGCCAGTGTTGTGAACAGCCTTTTTCACATGGAGATAAGGTGTGGGTCTATTGTCCTGAGCATAAGAAAGGTGTGTCCCCCAAGCTTCGCAGCTACTGGCGGGGACCGGCAGAAGTGGTGGCTCACTTGTCCGATGTGGTATACTGGGTGCGCATGTCCCAGCGGGGACGCCTGGTGGTGCTGCATAAGGACAGGCTTGCTCCAAACCAGCCCCACGTCCCAGTGGCTGCTGGCAAGGGGGAGGACGGAGCCAGCCAGAGTCCACTGAGGGACTCAAGCACTAGATGCCCGACCCGACAGCGGCGCCGACCCGCTCATCTGAGGGACTTTGTTGTAGAAGATGGGGTTGTCGGGCACGACTAACCCCTCTGGTGGGGGCTATGTGGCATAGCAGAGCCAAGCAGCCTGCTCAGGGGGGCCGCAAAGACTTATGGGTAATGGGCCTTAAGTGTTAGTTATAGAGTTTTTCAGTGTTACCTTATGGTTTGACGTTTTATTTTTGTGTTACAATGGAAACCTGTTCTTTAATTATCCTTCAAGTTCTGTTGGTGTCAATATTTGGTGGTATTTGTTCATCACCATGATAGAGAAGGGGGTGCATGAGAATGACCTGCCTGACATTAGATTAACGAAAAAAGCAAGTGGTTGCAAGAGTTGTTAATGAACGGCTCCTCATTGTCAATCCATTTTTGACACTTGAGGTGTGCAAGAAAGCTTCTCTCTCCAGTGACTAATTTCTTTTGATGTCACAGTATAAAATAAAAATTAGATCCTATTTTGTGAAAACAGAAGCCTCAAGAAGTTCCTTCCCTTTGTGGTGGAGGGATCATGAAAAATGAGATGTGAGTAACAGCATCACTAAGGTGTAACAATAATGAATGATAGCAACAAAACAAGAAATTAGGACACCGTTCTCCAACGCTCTCTCCGGTGCAAAGTGTGCAGGGGTTGGCATGGAAACCAAACTAACATGGGATCAATTTAAGTAGTATTTAGAGTATCTGTTTCCCTTTTTAAAGTGTTCTTAGATCCCGGACATGTCCCCAGTTTTTCAAAACATTTGCTGTAGTCTCTAGCAAAAATAAATGCCTTGCAAGTCATTCTCTGTGGAGTAAAAGCTCTGGTGCTACTGTTTCAGGAAGTAGAAGTTAGCCAGAAAAGAAGGTGGAGGAAAATGGCAGGATTTTGAGTCTCATCATTATTTATGATATTCTCGCCTCTCGTCTTTGATTGGCTAATAGCAGCACAATATAATTGTCTCTGCAATGTAGATGTTTTATTTCCACTCTTCCATTGACTCCAAGGGTGTCAGTTTTTAATATTGCTGAGGACAATCACCATAAACGTCAGTGTGGCTTGAAGATCGCCATGGACCACCATTATTAAATATTCATATATATGTATTTGTCCATTTACCGTTGTTCTGTAATATGCATTGCAGTGTTGATACTCTGAACTTCATTCAGTAAGTAAAAGTTGAAAAAAAAATCAGTTAAATGAACCAGTGAACCACCAATAACAGGGCAAGCTGCTAACCTCAGCGCCACCATTGCACATATAAGCCAACTCACAAAATGCCCTATAGGTTATAAATTGTAAGTCGCTTTGGATAAAAGTGTCTGCTAAATGAATAAACATAAACATAAACTCAGCAAAACACCCATAAAAGAAGTTGCTTACTTAAGTCTGGTTTTGGTCAACTCCAAATTCCCCTCACAGAGCTGAAATGATTATGACTGCCTCCATTAACTCTGCAATGTTGATATTTTATCTCCACAAATAACACAAACATGAAGGAGTTCTGTCGTGTTGTGGAGTAGATAACGTTAACGGTTAGCTTCTACTTGCCAGGACGTGCGATGTCGTCTCCTGGACGCTAAATTAGCAGCATTGTGTTGTGTTAGGTGCTTTGGAGTCTACTGACTCAAGAGAAGCTCTAGACAAATGTGTTGGAGAGTGGCAGAGACCTGTCTAACTCCACCATACCCACCCCTCATGTGCAGCAGGATATTTAGAGCGATACTTTGCAACCTTTTCTTATTTTAAAATTATTTTCTTGAGCCAGTGTGTGCTAAAATGACCCAGGGTTCATGAAAGGTCACCCAGCCCTTATTGCCACTCCTCACCCCTGCCACGTGGACCTCAAGGGATAAACCATCAATCATGTTCAATGGTCAACTTTCCTTGCGGGGTCACCCATGAAGACAGTGGGAGGGTTTATACTACCTAATTCATTAGATCTGAGCAATCACCTGAATTTGCAAATTTAAAGAAAAGCGATCAAGATCTTCACTAAAAGTTAAAGTAAACAAGAGGAACAAATACAGGGAATGAAAGGCTGTGTTCGGTTTTTAACCCGACTTGTACATTTGACACTGGGGGCACAAGTCCAGCTGTATGATGTTTGGTGAGTAAAAGAAACGCTCTTTAAAAACACAGCAGCGTTGAGAGGATTCAGGAGCTGTGCTAAAACGTAAAGACATTTCCCTTGTATGGTTTTGTCATCTTGTCATTTTGATTGAGAATTTAAATCTGGGGAAGCATTTTTTCCATCCTGGAATTCATTAAATATATTTTCAGGCTTGTGGATTATTTTTCTACAAATTGTTGCTTGTCCTGCACAAGGTAATTGAGAGGTTGAAATAGGTAAATGTTTTGCTCTCTGACATCCTAAAACTGCTTCTCTGGCATGTCATAATTTACTCAGTCAAGTCAGGCTCACGGAGCATCGTGGAATTGCATTTTTATGAATAGAGCCGAAGCAACGAACACAGCAATCAAGGGAGAGTGCAGTGATATTTCAACCCTGACAGAATGAGTATGGTGGAACACTCTTCCAATTACACACACACACACACACACACACACACCCACACACACACACACACACCATTAAGCATCCATAAACTATACCCAGCTGTAAACTCCACCATCATGACAGCACAGCACATAAACATGTCCCTCCATCCTCTGAATGAAGGGAAATCTGGCTTGTGGATCAAGTCCAACATACAGATTGTGTTTATTTCATGACCCCATCCATCAACACCATAACCCACGAGTTCATGAGGATCAAAACATCACAGTTCTGATGTAAGCCTGTTTTCACTGTAAGAATCACATTTCAGTAAGGTGAGGCTAATGAATAAAATCTAAACAAAAGTAACTCAGCAGGCACACATCGGCCACTTATTCAGACAGGTGGGTCGCAGGGAGATGGAAAAGGTCTCCAGTCCATCACAGAGAGAGAAAAAAAGTCACATCTAGGGAGATTTTAGAGGTGATACTTAAACAGGACCTGAATGTCTTTGGTTTGTGGGAGAAAACTACTGTACTTAAAGAGAAAACCCATGCTTGCATTAGGTAAATAAACCACAAACACATTTGATGTCATCACAGTGGAATTGGTATCCATAATTTATCTAACAGTAATCTACATTATCTCTATCATTATCGCTTTATGACGAGGAATAGAACCATTCAGAAAAGGCTAGGTTTTGTTGTTGAAGTGAATTAAAGTGAGTGAGAGGCGGTGACGCTGCTCATAAATAATTAAACAGAACTAAGTGTTGTGATTGAGCTCACTGCTTAGGAGGCTTTTCTCCAGCCTCGTGCAGCAACAGGACAGCGGAAGAGAAAGAAGCATTTCAGAAATATAATGTGTTACTGGAAGTAGAAAAATGATTAGCCAACAGTGATGTTTGATAACTCACCAGAGTTTCTAAACACATCAATAAAGGTCAAGTTACAGCTCCAAATGTTTGCACTCCTCCTCCATGCATAGCTGCCAACAGCCGGACAGTAATTAGTGGACAGGAAGTGTCACTGCAATGCAAATCTGTTTTCTTATGAACTGACAAGTTCCTGAAATGTACGACAAAGATCATTTAATCAAAATATATTTTTGTTAAGTTTTGAGCTTTAAACTGAGATAATTCAACATTGTGTGTGTGTGTGTGGGGGGGGGGGGGGGGGGGACCTTTGTAACAAAGCTCTGTAAAAAAACAAGTTCACACATGCTGAAAAACACTTTTTATTATTTATGTCAATTACAGTAAAATTTTTACTCAATGTCATTAGGGATCTTTGTCTGTTCATCCTTAAATACACGATCTTGATGCTGAAAAGGCAAAACAGAGTTCTCATGGAAATATATAAATTAGCTTCAAATCTCATTGTTTAATTTACGGTCCAATAACATGCTACAAGCTTTAAGCACTGCCCGTTTTTTTTTTTTTCCTGTTCTAAAAAATGTTTTAAGGGAAAAAAATTAAGTAAGCACTGGAGAAGCTGAACTGAAATAGTAAAAATAAGCTTTTCATTGGCAGAAGATCCTCATCGTCATATACAGTCTTACCAAAAATAAACAAAACTTTGTCCTCGGTGGTGGACGTTTCGGTTAGTGTGGCTTCTGAATCTAAATAAACACAGTACAACTCTGCAAAATGTCTAACACATCAGAACACATTTGTGGTATGGCGTATCAAAACATAAAATGTGCCTCGTGTCATGGTTGTGTCTTGAGTAGCAGAAAAACGACAGATTTTTTTTACAGAAAGGCTGTTTTGAGTGAGATTAGATTTGCATCATCTGAGGTCAAATTCCCAACATTTGCAGCCCAGAATGCTGATTTTCATGGATCCGGTTTAAACGTTTTGGCAGTTTGATTTAAAGTGCTGTAAAAACACCGGGCTGTTCGACCTTATTACTAAAACGGACATTATTTGAAGAACACAATTCCCATTATTTTACAGCTGGAAATGGCCAGCTCCCATCGGATAAACAGAAGTCAAATAAAAACACGAGACTAATCTGAGATTGAGGAAGTGGCTGTTTGGCTGCACATCCCACCATAACTATACACATAACCACCACACACATTTACAGTGTTCCTGAGGACCGACTGCTGCAGTACACTACTGCCGTTTCGATTTTTGTTTCCCAAACAAAAACAGCCAATAAGATATATTCTACAATATTGGGACTACAAAAACAAATCAAAAGCAATCATACTGTATTAATCATGTTGAAACTGAAGTACTGACCACAGGGAGACACACAGGAACTGGATTATTCTAAAGTTTTTGTAATATCTCTACCCAGCACATGCATTAGGGGCTCATAATCTAAACAACCCAATGGGGGAGGGGGTTATATATAACATAATCAGAAATAAGTTCACCTCATTCTATTGATAAATGATTGCCATTTGCAGTAAATCAGCTTTCTAAGAACATCAGAGCCCTAATCTTACTGTTTTGGGTCAAGTAATGACACACATGCACACACACACACACGCACACACACACACGCACACACACACACGCACACACACACACACACACACAGTCATCTAGTTTCCTTTTTTGCAAGGCTGGCAGGATTCAAGGCTCAGTTAAGTCGATAAACAGATAAAAGAAAAGAGAGTTCCCTCTTTAATTCCAGCGAAGGCAGCGGAGATAGGCAGGTTTGTTTTAGTAGAATAAAACCACCACAGAAGTTTGCCTCAGCATCTCGTTGAGTCCAGAGAGTTTCCTGATGAGTGAACGCTGTGTTCCTCCTTCGAGAAAGAGGAGGTCGCCGCCTGTGGCTCACTTCGTCAGTAAATCCTGTAACACGAAACAGAACGATGATAAGCACGGTACAGTGAGACGTTATCGGAGTTAATCAATGTCTTTGTGCCAGTGCGGATCCACTTCTGAATGAAAATAAAACTGTTTTATATATATTATATATTTACAGGTTTAAAAAATAATGAGATTTTCTTCTTCTCCCTGCCTTTACTGATTTGATTTTGTCTCTTGAGGATCCTGAATATTCCAACCTATCTGGTGTCTTTTTAAACCAATAAATAATGTGTAAAAAGCAGAGGACGGGGTCATTTTTTCACTTTGTATTTATGAAATTTACAGCTTGCTTTTGTATGCCAATTGCAGGTATTTTGTACATACAGTAGGTTTCCCCTTTTGAAACTGACAGAGAAAAATAAACATAAAAAAGGAGTTACGTTAACTTTTTTTCATCTTTGTGTGCATGCACAAGTGGCTGAGTGGCAAACAAACACAATATGGCCTGCTATCAATATGCAACGTACACGTTAAAGAAAGTTTACGCACAAAAACCCTGATGTATAAACACTTTACCATCCAACGAAAGAAGGACGTTTAGAGAGAAGCTTATTGAAGACTAAATTGGTTATTAAAAGCCCGTATAAACTCTGGGATGACGGAAAACATCTGTCTGATTCGCCGATAGATGAGCCTCCGATTGAGAAGCCCCACTCAGCAGAAGCAGCTGGAACCAGAAATCCAATGTAGATATGGATACACTACCGGTCAAAAGTTTTAGAACACCCCGCCGGGGCAAGAGCTCCGATGCAGAGGGCAGGCGCACATGCACGCACACACACACCTCCCGTTCCCACCGAGCAGCAGTTCGTGCTACAGAGTTTACTCAACAGCATCCAGCATGTAAATTAATCGCGCATAGGGGAACCCCCCCTCTGGCTCATTCTACTCACAGATCAGAGGCAGTAGGCATAATTTCAGCCGACCAATCAGTCCATAGTGTCACCTCGGTGCCAGTCTGGCTGCTAGGGAGAAGGTCTGAAAAAAAGATTTGCCTCGGAACCAAAAAAGCAAATCTGACTTGTGTGTGAAACCAAATTCCATAAAGGACCCAACAGACACTAATGTGTAAGTGCCATAAAAACATACACTTCTCTCAGACAGGCATTAACGTTTTCACACTTTTCTGTCTTCTTTAAACACTCAACGTCCTAATCACAAACACAATGCACAGAAAAAAATAAAATAAAAGCGGCTTGGGTGGCGTTATCATATACAGCCGGTGTTGCTGTAGCCGGTGTAATATTGTGATTACCAACAACTGAGAACCCTCACCAGCATATAATAATAATACGGTTCTCAAAGATTTATTTCTGCTTGTTACAAATTGTAATGAATTTTGAGGGTTTTGATAACAAACTTGAAAATGTTAATGTAATTAATTTTGTTTCAGCTTTCCCAATGAAGGGGTCTGTAAATTACACTAGTGGTCTGCAACCTGTGACTCTGAGTGACTCTTTGTAACTTTGATCAATAAAGCATAAACCCTTAGTGGTGTTTTACTTAAACTGACAAAAGAAATGGCAGCTTTCGCCATTTCCCATCCAAGTTTGAACAACTGCATGAAATTTTCACAGAATGACACAGAGACGTTGTTCAGACTCTAGGCTTTTACCAGACATTCAGCTCACCAGAATTTCAGTTCCAGAATGAGCTAAAAGTCACTGGAGATTTTATTAAACGATATTACTCTTGAGCTTATGTTTACAGCCTGAGGCAGACATGACAGCAGGATCTCTTACCTGAGAGTCTTTGGGCTCCTCCACTGCCTGCTCCTCAGTCTTCACCTCAGCAGGAGGAGCGGTGTTGGCCATCTGTAAACTCCTGGTGACCGGACCACCCGCTCGCTCTCTGGCTCTGAGGGAGAACCGCTCTTCTTTCTTGGGTTGTGTTGGTGGAGATTTGACCTCTGCTAATCTCTTAGGTGCTGGCTCTTTGCCCATGCGCTGCATTCTCATGGCTGGACGTTGTGCTGTGTCACCAGGCGTGTCCGGGCCTGAAGGGGTGGGAGGTAGAGACTGAACTTGGCCCTTCTTGGCCTTTTTACGACCAGAAGCGGGTGCTGGCAATGAGGCGGGCCTTTTTAGTCGACCCGCCGTAGTAGTTTTCCCTTTGCTCGGCTGCTGGGATTCAGGGTCTGCTGCACCAGAACTACGAGCCCGCGTCTTTCCCAGAGGTTTACCTTCTTGCTCCGTTTGAGTTTCATCATCTGAAGCTTTTTTCCTACTTGTGTTTTTATCTGCCACAGAGACAGATGCCCTTTTCACCTCTGCTAGAGCCTTTTTCCCCTTCTTAGCAACAACAGGTTTCATGGGACAGCTAACTGCCATGTGTTTATTCAGACTGGCAGTGTACGTGAACTCCCGGCTGCAGTGAGGGCAGACGTTAGACACCGGCCCATCTTCGACTTTAACAGAGATCTTCTTTGCAGTAGTGGCAGCTTTATTTTTCTGCGTGATTGCTTTCTGGACTAGCTGGTTCTTCTTCTTGCTGAGGGCGCTCATCTTTGTTTTACTGGGCTCCTGACTGAAGTTGAGTCTCTTTGGCTGGCCCATTCTCCGGAAAGCACCCTGGCCCGCTGCAGCTGCCGTGGGCGATGCAACTCCGTTTGGACTCTTGACTATTTCTTTGAGGGGGATGGGGTTTTTCTTGGGAGTGTAACGCTTTTTATCACTAGCGTTGGCGCAGGCCAGTATGTGCTTGTGCAGCTCAGGCATGTTATCGAAACTGTTGCCACATTTGGTGCAACGGATGGCGGTGCTGAAGGTTTGAGGTATGTTGTGGGTAGTGAAGTTAGTGGCAGAGGCCACCGAGCCGGCGTGGGAACGGCTGTGATATGGAAAAGGGGGCGGTTTAAAACTGGGGTAGTGTTGGTTGATGCCGAGGCGGACGTCAGGACCTTTGGGCTGCCCTCCTTCTGAAGCCATGATCTTTATCGTAGTGTACAGCTCCTCGTTGGGGTCTTCTGTGTGATTCCCATTCAAGTAGCTCTCCTCTTTCGTGTTTTGAGATTCGTTATTGGAAGCACTTTCATCTGTCATTTCCAGCGCTGGTGTCTGAGGTCTGCTTTCCACCTTGGCTCTGGATGGTTCTGTGTAATTCTGCGGCCGGAGTTTGCCGCTCTCTACAGTAGTATGTGAACACATCTCATTTGGATGCAGATCTTTTTGGTGCTGCTGCAGATTGCAGAAAAAGGCAAATTCTTTGGAGCAGACAGAGCACACAAATATCTGACCCACTCCATGTAGTGTTATCCGGTGGGCCAGAACAGTTGCCTCGTCATTAAACAGCTGAACGCAAAATTCACACTTAAAGGGCCAGTCCGCAGCATGCTGTGTAATGTGCCCGCTGAGATCCTTGATGGAGTTGAACGGCTTCTCGCAGACATTACACACAAACGTTTTGCAGTACGTGGAATCAAATTGTTCCGGCTCAAGTGGTTTATCAAGAGCAGCAGATTGATACGAGTCAACCGCAGCAACCTGAGTCACATGACTTACATCCGAAGACTCAACCTCGCATTGCTGAGGCTCTTCTTTTACTTTAATGTGAGAGAGAGATTTCGAAACCAGTGATGGAGATGACTCCTGTGCTGTTGGAGGAGATCTTGATGATGAAGACAATTCTGGTAGAGCTATAACATCAGATTTCAAAGCCGGCTCCGTTTCTGCAACCGTGTCTTGCTTTAAGCTGCCATTTTCGTCACTGCTGCAAGTTGCAGGCAGGAGAAGCTCTTCCTTAGCGGGAAGATCTACTGCTGCAGGCCCTGGAGGACTTGATGTTACAGACTCATCAGGAAGACCTTCAAGTGGAGTGCTTGGGGAAGCCATTGGTTCAGAAATATGGTTTTCATCTTCGTCTTTGCTCTCCTCATCTAAGAAGTCCACATTGGAGTCTGTCAAGGGCTTGTTTTCAGCTGATTTTGGAGACACTTTTGGTGAGAGGACTGGAAGCAGTCTGAGCAGTGGCGAGTCTGACGGCTGCGAAAGAGGAGAGCTCGGTAATGTTGGTGGAGATGATATTGTTGGTAGAACAGGAGGAGGCGGTGTTGACGAGGTTGCACTGCAGGTGCCGGGTGATGAAGGATTCATAGTGACAGGGGTCAGAGAGGGTGGAGAGGGGTCGGTGGACTCTGGTGCAACATTAGGAGATGAAGCCTGGAAACTTCCTGAATTGACCAAAGCTGAGGGCCCCTCCTCCCCAGATAATGTCAAACCAGCATACTCGTTCATTAGCACTTTCTCCAGCATACTGGTGTTGGGCTTTCTCTTTTTTATGAGAGGTTGTGGTCCAGAATTTCCTTTCAAGTCTGGTTCAGCAGCGGGCTTCCGATGCAAGCTCAGATCCAGAGCCGAGTCTCCCAGCACTCTGACCGAGTCGTCACTCCTCCTGCTGACGTTTGACAGATCCAAGGGTAGCTGATTACAGGAGTGTCCCCCACTGCCGGAGGAAGCTTGGCTATGTCCATCATTCCCGGACGGACTCAGCATATTGCCGTTATCTTCATCCAGCAGGTTTTCAGGAGGTGGCACACTGTGGCTTTCCAGCTTTGGCACCTTAAGGATGTATGCACTCGCCACTTCGGCTTTACAGCTCTCGGTTTTACACGGAGGGCTGAGCTGTGGAGAGGAGGGGGGAGAGCCGGTTCTTCTTTTAAACTTCCCCGCAGCCCCTTGCAGCGAAAAAGATGCAAGTTGTTGGCTCTTGGCTATGAGGGCTAATGTTGACTTCTGAAAGTCTTGTGTCTGAAGGAGCTGTTTGAGCTTCGGTGAGAGGTAAACCGTTTTCTCTCTCTGAAGTGCTGCTGAATCTGTGGCTTGTGGAAGCAGCCCCCCCACTAACAGGTTAGATGAGGAAGACGATAAGGATGAAGGCGTCATTTCTGCCTCGACTTTGAGGCCAGTAACAAGAGGAGGAGTTGAAGTTCTCCTTTTTGCTGCTGGCTGTTCACTAGTGGAGATATGCTTGGCAGCACTTGCTCTGCCCTCCACCTTCAGAGCCTGGCTGATCTGATTCGGGCTGATGATGACCGTGTCTAGACCAAACAACGCCGCGGATCTCGTGTCAACTTCGATCACCTCGCAACTACTCACAGCACTGGTGGACACAATCTTGCCGTCAATGTAGAAGCTGAGATTTTCTGAGATGTTTTTGGAGATGTCTATGGGATAATCATCTCTGTCTGCCTCGTCTTCAGTGTCTGCACTGGGGACGTAGACGGGTGGAGGGGTGGCGCTGGGGGACTCCCCAGGAAGCTGCTGTGCTGATGCATCTTGCAACAGCATGCCTTTCCTGCGCACTCCCTTTGGTAACAAGTGCCGTTCGTGTATCCTGCGTTGGTGCCTGCGCATGTTGGTGTGTGTGCCAAATGCTTTGTTACAGTACTTGCAGGGGTGGAGCTCCTTGGACTCGCCATTTTCATCAAACGCTGAAGGGCGATCCACGTGAGGCCCCAACTCCTTTCTCTGCATCTCAGAGCTTTGCACATGTCCTCCTGTAAACTGGGACCCAATGGCTATATAGTGACTAGACGGACTGGTGCAGTCAGGACTTGATTCTGTTTGCACCACAGCGCCGAGTGGCCCGCCACCCCCACCCAGGGAACCGGGCCTTTTCTTGGATGCACTTTCATGCCTCCTCTCATGCCTTCGCCGTCCCACCTGTGAACCAAAGGCTTTATTGCAGTATCGGCACTTAAAGAGTTGTGCTTGCTGGTTACTTTCACCGTGAATGTGTATGTGCCGCTCCAGACCCTGTCTGCTGGAGAAGCGGCGCTCACAGTGATGACAGTGATACAATTCTCCTTGGGCGTCTTCCTCAAGCTCGCCATCAGGATCGAGGTCAGGATCAGGATCCACCTCCTGCTCTTGAGGTGCAAGGAAGGAATATCTTAAATGTAATTGTGAACTATTATGGCTTTCTACACCACCAATAAGCGATGGGCCAGACTCCGCAACAGCTAGGTGCTGAGAAGGTTGGTGATCCACATCCTCCTCTTCTTCCTCCTCTTCGTCTTCCTCGTCTTCAGCTTCCTCTTCTGCCCATTTGCCTCCGTCTATCACTGGCTTTGCCTGCACATCCTTACATGTCGTTTTTTCCACAGGATGGACTTCCTTGAGTCCCTGCAGGGTCTCTGATGGCCTGTCATCCTCCTCCGTCAAACCTACAAACATGGCAGAATTGTTTACACTCAATAAATCTGTTTTGACTCAACATTAAATCAACATTAAACTGAAAGAAAATTTTTAATTGGACACAAACATACCTTCTCTCCCATCCCACATCTCTCCGACAGAAGGTTTGGTTCCACTTGTTTTCTTGAATCCACCCAAACCAGCCTGTCTGGCTTTCTCCAGCAGCTTTCTTCTGGCTGCAACACACACACACGCACACGCACACGCACACACACACACACTTTACAAATAAGCATGTACAAAATACTTAATGAATGGGTTTTTTGTTTATTCTTGCAAACATTTCACTGATTGAACTTTCAAAACCACATCAATAAGAGTTTTTGTCACATTCAGAAGAAAAACAAAAAGCAAACATTTTTCTTGACAAACAGAAGACTTGTTATTCAAGGAAAACGTATTTTAGTGATCAGAAAGGTCCTTTTGACTGCAGGTCCTTGTCGAGCCTAAAAGAGCACAAAGTGCCTCGCTTGGGTAATAATTTCTTTCCACTGCGATCTACTGACTTTTTTTTATGTGCTAAAGTTGTTTAACCAAATCAATCAAACTACTTTTTCACACTTCACTTATTAAGGTTTAAATACCATTTTATAACATAAACAACATCCTCCAATCACACTTCCTATAACTAACATACATAACCTACAACTAATTAAGAAAACTGGTAGTAATCAGAGTAACCTTATAAAAATGCAGATTATGGTCAATTAAGAAAGCGGTTCTAAAGCAGGAATAACGTTACGTTTTACCACACGATTTTCAAAAGTTCACATCAGGATATTAATTTGGTATTTTTACTTTTATACCATACTTTTTCCAAAACCTTTGTTTTACAGCAATTTCAAATAAGTGAGAATTGTGAGCTTTGTGGTAAATGTAGAATGAAATCATTCTAGATATGAAAACATCATATAAAAAAAGATGGAAGTGAGATTACAAATTATGATCCTGACCTTACAACTAGTCAGTGCATTTTAAAAACACATTTTTGGGTAAAAACTCCATCATTGTTTTAGGCAATTCTGATATTTAAGAAAACCACTCTTGTTGATTATCCGTCGACTTTGGGGACCATTTAGTTATTGCAAAAATTTGGAGCAGAAAACTGCTTAAACTCTTCTTTTTTCAACCTAAACATTAATCAGGCCTGTGGAGTTTTTGGTCAAAATAAAAAGGAGCCTCTTAGAAAGGCTGAAGATTCTCGTGTGGCTTCAGAGCCGCAGGCTACAGGCCTCTGGCTTTATGATTGTTTAAACCAAATAAAAAAAAATATTTAAATAATTTTAAAACATTTAGTGCTGGTAAAAGGCTCACAATCTTTTAATTAACTATTTTAACCACCTCATGCTATTAAACATGCATTAATTAAACATATAATTAAGCCAACTTAAAACAAAAGGCAACAAATAAATTAAAAAAAAGGATTTTAACCATTTGCATGGGAAATAACTAATCTAAATTCGACAGAAAATTATTTGGAATCTGGTTGGGTTTGCAGTCTAATAGACAGCTGCAAACACCAACAACATCACATTGTAACGATTACATGGTGGGATGCAACTCCTGCAGAGCTCCACAGACAAACAAGGTTTTTCATGGCAAAAACATTTTAGAAGATTGCTCAAGGACTTCACATTTACTTTTCTACACTTTAGCTTTCATGCATTTTCTCTCTTGATACATTTGCCTTATTAATGATATAACTATCTATATTTATACTATAACATGCCACAGCTATCGTAACTGTGCAAAAATACTTGTGAAGCTCTGCAGCAACAGAAATGTGTACTACTGCTATTTTATTGACCAAAGTGACTCGGCACAACTAAATCGGCAGCTGCCATTAAGCTCATGTTACATTAAGAGTCATTATTTATTAACATTAAAAATACTTCCACATCTGCAGCTACAACTCTCCAAACCTATTTTATTCTTAACAGTAAAATTGAGTGCATTGCAATGACACCAATGTTTATTTCTGCCCAATTTCCCCAAACAGAACTACGTTTGCTTGATATGAATCTAATCGCATCACATCCCGTTGATAAATGAAGAAAACAGCCACGATCGGGTTGAAAAGCAGGTTATTTCCCCCCCTTCTTAGTGGTACATCAATGCTTTCCTTTGTGAAAATACATGTTCAAAGTTCATAATGACGAGTGTAAAAGTCGCACACATCAGGCAAGTTTCTCAATAAATGGGAAAATGCGTCTGAAGGTCCGATCTCTTCATTTAAATAGGGACCGAAGAAAGAGAAACATAATCATCAGGAAGCTTTAATAACATAGGTTTGTCATTTAGTAACTAAATTACCTTTAACTGGCGCTCCGCTTGACTTTTTGTTTTCAACCTTGTGTTTACGGACTTAAAAGTTGATGCTATTGCAAGAATAAACCGCTATAGTGGGTCATTTATTTTCCAAAAAGTGATTTTATAGATCATTTTGATCAAAACTGGTTGATTTCATCCACCCAGTTTACCATCTGCTCCTCCACACAGCGAGATGTCCGTGCTTCGAGTCGTTTAGCCTCATGCTAGCATAAGTTAAGTCTGTCAACTCGATGAACTGGTTCTCCTGGACCGAACCCGCCCACAAGCTCGACTTCAGACACTCGTTTTACCCCAAAATTTTTCAGGCAACTATTGAAATCATGCCCCCTAAACGAGCCTGCAGTTAAACAAGGAAGCTGGTTTAGTTAGCCAACATGCTAGGCCATCATCAAGTAGAGAGGCTCGCCGATGGATGAACTCAGGAAGGTCACATCCTCAACAACGTAGGACCCGGAGGAGGAAAAGCGGCTCAGACACTCCTTTAACAGACGGATTGGAGCTTCTACGGTGATTTGTTGGATGTTTGGAGCTAGACGCTGTGTCGCTGACGAGTTAGTGATTGGGTATGAAAGTACAAGCTCCATACATCGCACGTTAGCTTCCACTAGCCTTCCTTCAGTCATGACCAGTTATGGATCGTTAGTTACAACTTCGCACGCGCCGCGAAGGAAACCAGTCAGCTGATGGAGGAGGAGAAGGGCAAAACAGTTGTGATTAAAATAAGAAAGGCCTCACCTCGCTTCGCCCGGGGTGAGCTTTTCCTGCTCAGACTGCTGGCTCTTTCTTCCTCCAGTGCAGCTGTTATCTCAGGGTTGTCTTCCACCGTGTACCACACCAGCAGCTCCTCTCCCGGCCCGATAGGCTGCAACAGTGAAAGATGAGCAGGGCCACCAATCACAGCCCTGCTTGCTGCGAGGCATCAGGGAGTTCTGGGCTAATGTGCATCTTAATCTGCTCTCGCACCTATGGAATTTGGCTGGAAATTATCTTTGTATTAACTTAGTTTTATCGGTTCTGATCATTCTTGTTATGGACGAATGAATGTGACAGCTTGTCATCTCAAATTGCAGATGCTGCAGACTCCTGCCACTGCTTATACATGCTCACTGTGATGGTAGGGCACTTTAATGTACAATATTAGTTTTAAACCAAAGCAAATGTTCTACTACCATTCTGGGTATTAAAAAATGTGCGCGCATAAAAATAGGAAAGTGGAGAACAAAAAAAACATAGCAGAGTCAAGAGAAATCAAGTTAAGAAACCTGAAAAATTAACATGAGAGACAGAATTTCTAGAAAAGCCCAGCCTCTCCACCAGACGCGTACGCGGTGCGTAACGCTATTGGCGCTTTTTGTGAGCTAAGTAAAGAGTACCTTCCCACCAGGAGCGTTTCAGATCCAATTGTCAGTGAAAACATTCCAAGCAGCTGTTCCCACTAGGTCACAAAATCACTGGAGAACTGCAACATCACATGATTTTGGCAGTTCACACGATACACAGAAAAAAAGCAGCATGTATCCAAAAATGTCTGTGGTTGCATAAATGTGTGTGTGTGTGTGTGTGTGTGTGTGTGTGTGTGTGTGTGTGTGTGTGTGTGTGTGTGTGTGTGTGTGTGTGTGTGTGTGTGTGTGTGTGTGTGTTCTAGACAATGGATAACTAATAATAGCAGTAGTAAAAGGACATGAAAAAAATAAGATTCAGAAAAAAACTGAAGGAAAAAGTGTTGATGTGGGATATTTTATACTTTAATCAGGATGAAGTTACTTTTATGTATATTTATTTAGCAGACGCTTTTATCCAAAGCGACGTACAATTTTTAACTTGTAGGGCATGTTGTGATTTGTAGGGGAAACCGGAGTACCCGGAGGAAGCCCACGCATGCATGGGGAGAACGTGCAACTCCACGCAGAAAGGCTACAGCCGAGTTCTGAACCTGCAACCTTCTTGCTGCGAGGCAACAGTGCCAACAACTGCGCCACCACATGCAGCCCATGGAAGGGGCAGGATTTAACATTTATACTGCAGCCAGCCACTAGAGGGTGCTCAGTTTAGTTTTGTCTTTTGTAACTCTTGCATTGCTTTTTGCTTTCAATACAAATGCCAATTTAAGGTGAAACCCACCCTACAGAAATTGCGAAATGTACCAAAATTGTATTTATTTAAAAGTGATATTAGCACATCAACGTTTAACTGAGGATTCAATACATTTTGTACACCCATTATGATACATTTAGGTGCTCATTTATTAACTATTATTTCTAATATTTTACAGCTAATATGTGTAGCTGCATGTTCTAAGAAATAAAGATAATTAACTTAATGATGATCAATAATTTTAAATATTTTGCGAGAGCTGAACAAGGATTTTTGTACTACTATACAAACCTCTCATTCCTGTAAGGAAAAAAGGCATTTACAGTGTTTTCACTAAAGGGTAGTCAGAAAGTTATCTTTTCAGAACAACCAACCCAGACAACTTGATTTATTAACACAATCACTGTAAAGCATGCAGCCTGCTGACACATGAATGAATCTTTAACTCACCCTCAGGACTTTGTAATAAATGGCTCTGTTGATCTCCAGGGGGAAAAGATTCTGTTCTTCACTGGAACGAGCCCAGTTCACATATCGGAGCCAGTTCCCCTTCATGGGGTCTGTGGCATCAACGCACATCCATCCCCTAGCTGGGAAATAAACCTGCAGCGTATAGACAACAGCAAAACACCAACGGTTTTAAAGTCTGCAAGATTCAGTTTAGTTGTCTTATCACAGATGAGTTGATTTATTAGGTCTTTTGAACTGTAGACACTAGTTAACCTGTGCAGTGTTTCGCTTTTCACCTGCAGCACAAAGAAAGCACATATTCACGGCTGCTGTTTAACGTGATCATCCATTCATAGAATTAAAGCTTGCTGAAACATGAGAATGAAACTAGAAACCTTCTTTCTTCATCTTTACCAACAGAATCCAAAAATGACTAAAATTAAAAACGTGTCTGCACAACATACCTCCCACATGTAAACATTACTGGTCACCTGAGACCTTTTCTTCTTCTCTCCAGCAAATGGACCAAAACGTTTCCCTTTTGAGATGACCTTTGTGGCCCAGACACCTAATAACAAAGCAAAAAGAAAGATAAAAATTGCATTCATGAATAATTCACACGCAACTCATTTAGCAGAAATATTGAAAAAGGGGGGGGGGGGGGATTTGTCAGCTTATTATTATTAATATTATTAAAAATATTTAGAAATATCATTTTTATAAAATTGTAATTATAAATTATGATTCAAAGAAAAATGTACTATGTTGTGGAAAAGTATTATCTTTACATGTTTCCTAGGGATGTGTATTGGTGAAATTCTGGCGATACGATACGTATCACAATACGATATATCACGATATATTGCGATACATTCAGCCAGACGATGTTAGCAATTTTTTAGACAAAATTTATTGTAGGAAAATTCAGTCCAAACTGATAGGTAACATGAGGTATCTGAACCATAATAGAGGGATTTACATTTTAATGGTGGAAACAAAACCCATTGCACACTGCTGCCAACTAGCGGTCTATGTTTGAATTGCACCAAAAGAAAAGAAAATACACAAATGTTTGCATGTAAATTCTTCCAAAATTTCGACACGCAGCTTTTGAATACCGATATAATACTGCAGGAAAAATTATTCCCATATTGATATTTTCATACATCCCTAATATTCACCCTGTTTTTGCTTTCTTTGTGGTAGATGTTTCAGATCAACAAACAAATTTTAATCAAACATAATCTGAGTAAATACTTATCATAGTTTGCTTGTAGATCACTTGATTTAGTAGGTGTAAAATCTATCCAAACCCATGTGAAAAATGAATTAAGTACGCTGTAATTTCATTTATTCAGAGGGGTCACAAGAAACTCTAAAGTTTTACAAATATCAGCTGCTTGGCGACATCTGCTGATCAAATTTTCGTACAGAGTTAAAGCAAATTAGCATGAGTTAACCACAAGTTTGGCCCAGCAACTCTGCCGGGCCTTTACGAGTACATACCCCAGGTCATGAAATGGCCAGGGGTCTCATTTATCAAACATTGTGTAGAATCCTTACTAAAACCGTACTTAAGCTCAGCAAAAAAAATGTACTTACGCCAAGTAGGTTTGTGACGTAAAAACATGGAGTACGCACAACTGCACGCAACCTCTCCTTCATAAATCAGAGACTAACGAGAATGTTTCTCAGCTGCTTTTTAGTCACATCCCGCCCTCACCACGCCCACTTACTGCCATAAATAGTGAATGCAAAGTGCCTTGTGGATCTCATGCATATACATAAGCCGGCTGTTGCAGCACTCCGCCAATGACGATGGCGACCGTAGATCAAGGCAGATCAATTTCACAGAAGCAGAAATTGAGGTACTTGTGGGGGAGGTGGAGAAATGAAAGGAAGTGCTTTTGCTAAACAAATAAGAGAAAATCCACAGAGTGGCACAGCGTTGCTGAAGCCGTCAATGTTGTGAATTCTTCAGAGAGATCTGTGGCGGATATAAAAAATAATGATCTGTTCAGGATTCAATCCCCAGACTCCTGGGTGACAGTCATATGCACTAACCAGTCACCCAAATGGAGATCTCCCTTGTCCAAGTAGCCAGGGCCTATGATCAGTCGTGTCACAGTGACAGGACACACACTGTCACATTCTGTCTCAATCTGCCCCCTGCTGATATTCTGCATTCCGTATTCTGCGCTTCAGGCTCTGTGTGTGTGTGTGTGTGTGTGTGTGTGTGTGTGTGTGTGTGTGTGTGTGTGTGTGCGTGTGCGTGCACGCGTGTGTGAGTGTGCGCGCGTGTGTGTGTGCCATGTGTGGGGGGTCTTGTTCTGTGTGAAAATGAAGCAGTACAAGTGATAATGCTGCAGGATGTCATAATTTTATCCTTCTCAGCAGCAGCACTGCAGGTGCTCTCCATGTCCAAAATGTGCGTAAGCCAGGTCCTTAGTCAACTCAACGTTGCGCACATTTTTTCGCTAAGTTATCTTTCATAAATCCCAAATTTTGCGTGGAAACTTGCGTACGCAGTTTTCTGATCCCGTTTTGTGCGTAAGCAAGCTTGATAAATGAGACCCCAGGAGTATAGTCCTTTTGGGCCAGTCCGGTGAAATGGAGGCACGCAAATGCTACGAAGGTCTGGTACATGACCTGAAAGGCCAGATAGTGGAAACAGGCCTAAGGCCCCCTCGCTGGAAACTTTAAATTCATTTTTAAAGATGTGGTTCACTCGTTTAACTGATACAATACAGTGTGCGTGCACGGGGGGTGGGGGGTGTTCAGACGCACCTGTTTCAGGAAGTGCAATTCAGCTGTAGGAAAAAGTAGCTTCAAATGAATTTTGATTTGAAATTTTGTTTTCTGGTCATCTCTCCTTGGATTGGATAACGGCAACACAACTCACTGACTCAGTCTGCTCTGCAACATTAGTTGTTTTTAGAAAACGAGGCAGTCAATTTGCCGTAATGCTGCGGAGGCATCAGGGAGCCTTAGGCCGTTTATAAGTGGTTTGACCGGGCATTAAGGGGGTGTGGGGGCGGTCTCTGCGATGCCGCGGACTTCCGTTTATCTTGAACATAACTTGCTTTTTATTGGGATTGAAGCCGCGATCGTTAAGTTTGTTTTTAACAAGCCGCTCCTAAAGGTGTCTGTCCTCATCAGTCCCTGTGCAGTCTCTGATGAGCTGAGCTGAGCTTCAGCTCTAACAGTTCGTGCAGCGCTGCGGCGCTCCAGTTTGCCGTCTCAGCTGATTTTGTTCAAAATCAAAACTTACGGCCCGCGTTTACTTTCTTTTTCAATATATTTACAGGCCTCCTCGCGTCATCATGACAACTCCCTATGTTGTGCCATGGCGCAATAGCCGTTTATAAGGCAGACCATTACCGCAATATTACTACCAAGCGAGGCAGAATGAATGCCGCAAATTTTGCACAATGCCAGGGGCGGCGTTAGGCCCGGCTACTTGGGCTGAAGTCCCGGATGTTTTATGAAAAGCCCCGGATCTAAATCGTGGAAGTAACATGCAGTACCAAAGTCCAACAGAGAGGGAGCAGCTGGCAGTAGTTTGTATCCAGCCTGCCTGAGCCTCCACCACTGAAGAAGCCCTTCAGCAGCCGGCTTCTTCTACACTCTCTGCCTGAAACGCATGAGTGAAGATGGACATAAGGACGTTTTTTAGACAAAAAGTACAACGACAGAACCCCAGCTTTGATGAGACTGGTGTTGACTCGGGTTTGTGAGTCTTATTCGAAAATATTTGTTGTGCTGCTGGTTTGCCTAAAGTTAGCTTACTATCAGGTAAAGTTGTTGGAGAAAGAAAGGGAATATTTACTATCATCTCACACTAAACACTAACAGGAACAATACTCTGCCCTGAATATGCTTAATATATAGCTTCAGATTAAAAATTATGTGGTACAAGACATATATGATGTTGACTAGTGTGTGTCACGTGTGTATGTGTTAAGCCCCGGATCTTCAATCCTAAATCCGCCCCTGCACAA